GTTATTTCCGGTTCGATCATGCACCAGGAGGATTAGATTCACTGCATAATAAACAGTTCGCCTTTATTTATGGCTTCTGGAAAGTTTGCTACTTCAATCTAGTAATCGATCAAAATATCAACAGAATTATTAAAAACTAGGTATGTTGTTTGGCATTAAATGTCGAACAACCTAAAAGTCAAATTGTTTTTAATGAACTGTAAACGAACGACTTCTACTGACTCCAACCATAAATACCATCATTACATTAGACGAATTTCTATGATACAAACGAATAAAAGAAAGTTAACGATTGGAAAGTATAGTATTGCCTTCGTCTTGGATGCATACATAGTGGACATTAATGTTTACAATATGAATGTTATTTTCGACATTATGATCATTTCCCAGTTCGCTTAGTAGGTGGGCACTCAGTCGACTGTAATCTCTAACAAACATTTCATTCCAAGCCCCAACCTTTGATACATCTAATGTCCTTCCATCCAGCATACCGTTACACCAGGCAGTTGTGGACAACTTCGGACAAGTGAAATGATATCCTAGGTGAAGATTATACTTCAATAGGTGGAGGTTCACTAACAAATACATGGACAATAGCAATAAGTTCTGGGTACAACAAATTTAATGAATATTGAGGAAGTTGCTGATAACCTAAACCAGTCACCTAAAGGAATGAGGATAGTTTCTCGATCAATATGCAGTCACTCAAGGAAAATCATGACAATTACTTATATTTACAAGTGATATAAATTCTTACATAAAAGAAGTCTCATACTGTATCCAACTTTTATTTTCCAAAATATAAATACAGTACTACACATAATTGTAGTAATAATTCAACTGAACAGTTTTGCATCTTAATGTACTTTGTCCTGAGACCCGTCGCAAGCCATGCCTAGTGTTATTTAAGTTACATTTCGATATTTGTCATTTAAATACCCTCGTTATTTCAACAAAGATCTTGTCTTTGTTAATAACATCAAACCGACATTTTATCCAAGGAGCTAGCCATAGAACTCCCGAATCGAAGGTAATTTACTTAATAAATACGAGTTTGTGTACTTCACTTCAAACAGCATTGTTGTGAGGATTAATAATAATATTCAGCTGTATAAAATTATATATACTTATGGCTAGTCTACCTAGCACTAATATGTAGACAAATAATAAACGTGAAAAACATTTGACGCAACAACCAAATCCATTGCAGATCGGATACAAGTAATGTAATCTTCAAAAACCTCACATTGATTATCATGGCCCACTACACTGATCAACCACGACTTTATCTACCAGTTAATCCATACGACGAATATAGAACGTCAACGCCTCTACAATTACAGAGACAAGTCAGTCAGACATCAGACTGAACCCAGGCTTTTTGTTTGTTTTAGACTACACAAATACGCGTTTATCAATATATATCACTGTTCGGATAAAAATAAAACCACAGACTATACGACTAGCGAGCCATTTCTTTCCTTCTAATAATCTTATGATTCTCGCGAGAAAGTTCCACCGTCATATATGCAAAATCTGTGTACTTGCTGATTCCATTATCAGTATAGTTCATCTTGCATGGGATTTGTCAGTTTTTCTGCATTTATTTCCTCGCTTTATCCATTGCTCATCTACTTGAATTAAATACACTGACGCGTAAGCTTACTTAGTGAACCGGGTGGTATGCTAATTTCCTTACTGAGCTACAATATTCCCTTTCTCTCTCTCAATACATTTGTCTGAAATGCGTAGGATCAATGAAATGTCACTGGACCCTAACCAAATATCCCGGCAACCGGGTCACTAAATGCCTAAGAATTCACCGATCCTCGTCAAGTTCAGAGACAGCGAACGCGCATCATCTAATTTCACGCAGTGGATTGGCCCATGGAGTGGTGGTCGCACTCTCTTCCTTTTACCTACTCTTACTAATATATTTCTATAATTATGTCCTTTGTGTTACACGGTCTTTAGAACAGCCATAGTACCTTGATATAGCGAAAAGGCAATCCACGTTAGGTGCGATTTCAAAATTAGCTGGTTCGTCACACCATTTCAGTCTAACGCGAGTAGGCTCACGATCATCTACGTTAGCGATCTACATATGATATCCCTAACAATACTCCTTATATAACTTTCAATACTGTGTTGTGAGCATGTGATAAGTCCTAGAATATGTACAAGATTAGACCGGGATGCATATATGGATATATAGTGCATTATAGCTAAATGTGTCTGGTCAGTCATACTTGATATTACTATTTATTCGTTTAATCCATCCTTGATGGCTTCATATGACTAGTTCATTTTAGGTGAAAAACGAAATGCTCGATCTATAGCTCAATGCTGTAGAATAGCAAAGTTGGGGACGAGTACCAAGGAACGACAGAACTTTTGGGATAGGTTGAATAGTAAATTATCGTTGGTACTCTGTACGTTACCTAGGTTCTTATTTAATTTTCGTAAAAACCGAGGGACCTTACCAAAATCACTCACTGGTTTCAAAGAACAGCTGTACTCCGTCAATCCTCCAATGTTTCAGGTAAGTTAAATGTTGTTTCGGTTTTGCTGGCCATAAGTAAATCAATTACGCCAACTATTTGCAATCTGACACACGTGTCCATTACTTAGTGTTAGCACAGCCAGATAAAATTATCGAGACAAATCCCAGAGTAGTGTAGGTAGTAACAGTATCAGTTGTAAGCAAGACGATGTACAGAAATAAGGGATACTTAAAACTCAGGTTTGAAGGAAAGATAGACAGCAAATGCACCTGTGCCACCTGGAACTATTTCAAGACATCACTTATTTAAACACTTCCCGGACATCAGACATGTCAGTAACTACAGAACCCAGAGATACCTCTTGACACACATGTCACCTATAATGATTTTCCGGGAAATCGACTGAATTTGAGCTTACCACCATACAGCTATTCATCGTGTTACTTAGTGTTAGACATACACTCGACAGTTCACGAGGACTTGCCGTCGGGTCGCCAGATGAACGAAGGGTTTTAGCTGGGTGATGTAGAAAACAAATCCAAGGAGTGAGGAGACAGTGAAGCTTGGAGCCGATTATCGTAACACTTAAAAACAGATCACCGACCTTTAACAGTCACTTTTCGGTACAAGTTACGGACATTTCTACCTTGAACCTGATTGAGCACTTTCCCAGTAGTTGAAATCGATTCAGGCATTTTAAAGGTCTAATAACATCAAGAGGCCAGTTTACGCAACCGCACTACATTGAACTGATACTTATTTCGTCAGAATACAGTCTTTAAAGTACTATGGTCCTAAAGGAACATCCTAAAAACCAGTCTACCATCGAAACCCGTGTTATTGCGCCTGTGAACAGTACCTGTTATACAAATGCAAAAGAATCTGGTACGTAAGTACATCAGGAGCTGAGAACTCAGACGAGGACAAAATGAACGCATCCGTCACACTGCAAACGATTTTGAGCTGTCATCTAAAATCTCGGACCACTGGTTATAACATTTACCCAGTCAGTCGGCAACGACGCACAACTTCGTACGTACATACATCAGTCCAAGTCGCCATACCACATTAGCACAAACATACAATTATCGATCCAAGCCCCATAGTGGTGGAGGTAGTAAAAGTATAAGCAGTAATCGGAAAGATTAGGGTTTGAAGATGTTATTCAATGAGTATGATCTTGTGAAATTAACTTGGAAAGAGAAAAAAGAAAGGGACAAGAAGAATTCATAAGATTATAATTTGGAAGAACACGAAGAGTGGATGCACCTTCGCCATTGCATACGATTTTGAACCATGCCATTCAAGGTTAGAATTTGGGAGAACACAATGAGCGAATGCACCTTTGTCATTTAAGGTCTCTAACCATCGGTTGCTATCATCTCGTGAAGGATATACGAGCAATGCTTCGGAAACACCAATGATCAAATACTTACATTAGCCCGGACCCCAACCAAGTGTTAGTGACCTCACGGAGTAGCACCCTGTCTCAGATAGACCAATCCTAACTTCTTTCCAGGCTACTTCCATATTGGAGGATGATCGAACAGACTCGGAAAACCAACTTAATGGCCTTCCTGGTAAACTGACACGGAGGTGTATAATAAGCTGTCGCTCTATGTTAACTCAATGCACGCAGTTTTCTACCTCTTGTCAAGCAATTTATTGTGGTAGCACGATACACAATTTATATACATATGCCTAAATCTGTGTATTATCTCAACCAGCTGTCAAAAAACAGGTGTGAAGTTAATAATGTCTGTAGATCCGAACACCTAAATAATTGTAGTTAAAAGCTACCAGACAGTAAACTATCGGTAGGGTTAGGCAAGCCAACTAAGAAACTCAAGCCAGGAATCTACACGCAGCACAAGAGTCAAGTGTTCATTACAAATGAGTTCATGAATCGACATGTTATAATCACGGGCAATCCATCATGGCACTCCGAAAACTGTCGTCACTACTAAGTATCCCCGGAGTTAGGTGGCTTTGAGACAGGGAATCAACTTAGTCTACATTCCTTACTTGGAGTAAAACGAATTTGCACCAGCAATACTAATGACGAGTTAGAAGGAATTCGACGAATACTCAGTTAAATTGGTTACCCTCTCGTGTTCATTGGAAAAAATTATAAGTCCGAAAGATAAATGAAAGGACATTTAGGGTACCCAAAACGGCTTTTATAAATATTGAGTTTAAAGGTAACAATGCAATAAGGATTTCAAAGATAAATCTCAAACCAACTAACATCAGTGAACTATGGTACCTTATTTTGCATGTTAACTCATGAGCACCTTACACCAAAGCATCGTAACTTCCACCATTAGGTACAAAATAACGGTAAACAATCAGGAAATTAACATTGATCTTGTATGACATGAGGGATATAATAAATATTACATAGCGAAGTCTAGCTGTCATTTCCATCCCCCTCAGCTGTTTGGTCACTGGCCCATAACTAATTAGTCATATTAGAAAAATTAATAGAAATCTTACCGTCAAGTTGTCTCTCAAAAGTTGCATAATTAGTGTGCTGTCTTTGTAGGAATCATCTTGAAGCTGATCTAGTTCTGCTATTGCTGAATCGAAAGCGCTTTTGGCTAATTCGCATGCTTGAGGAGCATTATTTTGTATTTCGTAATAGAACACAGAGAAGTTGAGAGCTAAACCAAGACGAATTGGATGAGTGGTAGGCAACTTATTGGCAGCCTCAGTAGCTTTCGTGTAGGCATCCAATGATCTTTGGACGACTTCAGCTCGAGTCTTATCACTGGCGACTTCAGCGAGATACCGATTGTAGTCACCTTGCATTTTCAAAAAGAAAACTTTGCTTTCGTCGTTACTTTCCTGTACAAGTAGATAATCTTTGAGCAAAACCTAAAAACATTACTAATACTTCGCGTAAAGCTTACCAAAACCTGATCACAAATTGCATTCAACTCTTTTTCTATTTTAATACGGTACTCCTCTGCAATTTGACTTTTCATATGGTCATTCGCCGCTTTCGTTTCACTTCCGGATATCACTCTCCATGCTGATCTTCTAGCACCTACGACATTTTTATATGCCACTGATAGTAAATTCCGTTCTTCGTTCCCTAAAGTCCCCGAAGCCTCGGTATAACGCTTCATAGCTGCCGCCATGTCATCATATCGTTCAGCCTGCTCAGCAAGTTTGGCGATATGAACCAAATCAGTGTTAGATAAGTCTTCGCACTGTGTAACCCACGACGTAGCCATGACGGTACAGTACTACAGCAGAGGGTTGTGACAACTGGTCAAACTGGCGCGTAAAATTAACTAATATATAGAAAGGTTGTTAAACTAGTTCCACTCATAAAAGTTTAAACTCACACCAGTGATTGTGAATTTGGAAATATTATTTACATTTTCAAATATGTTTTAGGATTATAAATCGCTTTTGTGAAACTCTGTTTTAATTCTGCGTTGTTAATTATTTGTCGACATAAACAATATTTGATCATAAATTTTATCGATTTTTCCTGGTATGATCAAATTAAGTTCTGGCTTTTGATTCTCACTCTCTTTCTTCAACTCACCATCCAGCTTTCAACGTCTCTCAGTCAACTGTTCATAATAGTTTATGCAGTTACTTTGCATATTCATTAAATATTCCCACTAAAAGAAGTTGAGTTAAGAAATATTTATTCCCAGTTAGTCCCTCATCACGGCACTACACTAGTGTGTTTATATTCACACGCATTATTTGTGAGTAGAAAGTCGGTACCTATTAGGTCGTAGCCTCTAATAAATCCCTAAAATCAATATCTCTGTAAGTCATCAGCATTTGATGCTGACCATATTAGTTTTAATGGACTCACCTAGCTGAAGGCGCTCGGTCATGCATCCTCACCAGATCACGAGGGTTGAACGCCGTGCTCAACCTCTCCTACGACCGCTAGCCAGTTTAGATCAAACACTTCTCGATGCAGTGATAACCTACCAAATAAATCTTCTAACTTCCTCGCTACTGGCTTTGATTTCACTGGGTTGATACTGGTTAAATTGTTAAGAAAATCTAAATACTTATGGCATCTTCAAGGTGATGGTAGGTCGGTTTATTACAAGTAGCCACATAAAATATTAATACAATAGAAGTTCAAAAACTTGTCAAAGAAGAGAAAGAAAGGTTTAAAAACATGTAATCGTATCTAAGTAGAAGGCCAGGGTAAACTTAAAGGATGAATAAACTTTTTCTGTATACGAACGTTAGGCTTTCTGATGCATATTCCTATGGCCATTCCTATGTCTTCTGTTATATTTATGTACACGGAACTCCTACGGAGGATTTAATTGTGGAGTCGTCTATAGACGGTAACTGATAGATGCATTGAAACAGGTGGTGGTCTGAAGCTATGTCAGCTCTTCTCTTGGTTCTCATATCTTCTATTGTCCTTCGGAATTTTTTGTTGATACAAATATGATCTCCCATCAGTATGGCCAGGTCCTTTCTTGAGCATTTCGCTATAATTGATTGTAGCTTTTCTTAGAACTGATCTTTATCATCGTCGTTGCTATCATTGGTGGGTGCATAACATTGGATAACATTCATTGTGATCCCTTGCTTCTTTGTTCTGAATGATGCTTTGATTATCCTGGGTCCATGAGATTCCCATCCCACAAGTGCATTTCGTGCTTCTTTGGACAGCATTAGAGCAACTCCTTGAGTGTGTGGAGCATTTTCCCCTTCGTGACCGGAGTACAGCAGCATCTCTCCTGTACCTAGCCTTTGTTGTCCGGTTTGTGTCCAATGGGTTTCGCTGATTCCGAGTGCTGCCAAGTTGTATCTTCTCATTTCCATTGCTATTTGACTGGTCTTCCCTGTTTCCTACATTGTCTGGACGTTCCATGTACCTATAAAGAGTGTTGCTCTGGTTGTTAGAATGTGCATCGGTCTCGTGACTTTCGAAGAATTTCGGCTTTCATCATGAGACGTCATAATTATTCCTTCAATTCCCAGGGCAGAGTTTAAATGGTTTGAATTATTTTTTCTGGTTAGCGTTTTTTAGCGAGTTAGCTTTTCTACGGGATGGGGTCGTTAACCCCATGCCCAACACTCCTCCTTTACCCGGGCATGGGACCGGCAGTAACTCTAGAAGAGCTACAAGCGTAGTTTTGTCGAGACTTATAACGCTTTAAAGAATCTGGCTTTTCCAAAGAAACCAATTTCACTGTCAAGTAAATCTCTCAAGGAATTACTCCTTGGTCATGTTAAAAGTGTTGGCTTTGAATCAGAGAGAGATTAAAGTTTCATAAAATGAAGCGATAAAATTATCAGGAGGTTAGAGACGTTATACTTGGACTAATGAAACAGGCCGTGAAGTGCAACTTTCGGGACAAATTGGAGACTTAACTCCGTGGTCGGTTGATTGTTGTGATAAATATTTCGTATTTAGAAAGAGAGTTTATTCAGAAACCTAAAAATTCATTCCAAGAAGTAAAAACAAGATGTATTAACTAAGAGGCAGTGAGCTAGCTTGACTTTTATTCAATGAAAAATTCCGATACTATGCTTGGTCGTCATGATGAATTAAAATCTCAGAGTTGCTCAGACTTGCATTTGTTAAATGGTGGTTCTTATTCTCGTGTGAATATGAAAAGTGAGTCAATTTCAAAGCTGGTCACAAAAGTGGGCACGAGTTTGATAAATCATTTCTACTTTCAAAAATAATATGTTCATCAATGTTCATTTGTCCTCACTGGATTTGATCGCCTTATTGCCGGAGTTTCTCGTTAGTCAGTCAGCGACAACGTAGGACCAGACACATATATGCATCGGTCCAAGATGCCATACCTCATTAGCAAATCAAGATCTACACTGATTTCATAGTAGTTAATGTAATGCTGGCAATATATAAAAGAAAGATTGTGTATAAGGACATAGTACAGGACGAAAGAAAGATATGAAACAATTTTAATCTCAAGGTTTAAGGGAAGATAAAGAGTGCATACACCTACGCCATTGTGATCGATTCTGAGCAATGTCACAGAGTCTCCAACCATTGGTTACGATAGTCACGCGGACTCCAACCAGGTAGTCTGCATCTACCAACATGGCTCAGACTAGAAGTTAGTGACTTCAAACACTGATGAAATGTTTTGGTTTGGCCGCCCCTAACTCTCTTCCAACCATCGCCAATACTAGTCGGCATTGCGCGTCGTGGAAGTCAGTGTTAAGGCATACGTAACATGTGGCCCAACCATATCAGTTGATGAAGATTTATAGCCTCATCAACTGATTTACCATCATTCCCTAATACCGTGTCTAACCTCACTATTACTTACCCGGTTATCCCAGCAGATGCGAGCAATATTTCTAAGGCATCTGTGGTCAAATACTAGTAACCTACGAGTATCTTCTACTCTTAATGGTCATGTTTCGCAGCCGTAAAGTAGAACAGAACGAACTGCTGCGCAGTATACTCGTCCCTTAATTAATAGACGGATATCTCGTCTTCACCATAGGTGACGTAAGTTGGCAAAAGCTAAACGAGCTTTTTGAATCCGTGCTGAGATTTCGTCTGACACCAACCCATTAGGGCTGATCAGACTTCCAAGATAAGTGAAGCTGTCCACGCTGTCATCTGTGTATCCTAAGTCGATAAGTGAACCATCTGGTAGAAGATCAATTCCTGAAAATTCAGTCGACGAGAGTGTTATTTCCAGCAACAGATCTATAATGAAGCTAAACAAAAATGGGGATAGTGGACAGCCTTGACGGACACCACTTGAGGTTGTAAAATCATAATTATTGAGGCCAGTATTTTAGATGCCATGTTAGTCAAACTAATCCCTCTATGGTTATCACAGGATGATTCTGGCCCCTTCTTATATATTGGGGCAATCGGAGGTTGTGACCAGTCAGATGGGATTACGTCCGTCTCCCAGATTTTGCCAGAATATTGGTCAATCTCGTTAGTACAATAATTCGAACACACCTAGTCATTTTACACATTCTAAATCACTTCGGTTGAGTCATAAGCACAATAATGTTGAAAAACATCTTGAAACAATCCTAGTGCCGTAGTTCTAGCTACGCGGTCGACAATAGATATTTGTGCCTGGTAAAAGACAGGAGCGTCATTCGAGAGATTGTGAACAAGTCTTGGAGGTATACAGTAAATGGGAAATTTGAGCACTAGAACTCAGTCTGACCATACAAAAAATGATCGATACATTTATGATTAAATATTGTTCATTTCATATCGAGAAGTCCACGGTTTGTCCCCAAATGACTTGGTACGGCCGAGAGTGGGTAGAGTCCGCTCTCCCTCTCGTAATGCTCTCACATGGCCAGCGAATATATAGCTTCTGCCACGGAAGTCCTACTCACTGCCTTCTCGTGGCGGGGGTGTTGTTTACGAAATTGAGAGGACGAAAATCGAATGTCCGGCGCTATAACCGGGTTGGTGGATGTGGAGGATCCATCTAGGGGAGTTGGAAAACCATGATTCCAAACCAATGGTGCACATGGGCTCCAGTATCCTGAGGGAACAAATGGCGTACGAATCAATCATTGATCACCGGCTACCATGGGACTGCATCTCCTCACGATGCTCCACTGCCTTGTGGACTGGACCTTCAGGTCAAAGGCTCTTGGTGAGGCTTCCTAAGAAAACCACCTGATTCAGTTTGGGCACCTGGGCAGTATCACAGCCCACACAAATAAATGAAATGATGACTTGTACTGACAATCCTATTTATGCGCTTACTATATTCCAGACAATTTGCATTATTATTACTATTTACCATATCGCTAATTCACCCCCTTTTATCCCCAATTTGTGTAACCTTACTTTTCATCTTATGCAGCAGCTCGCTCTTGGTGGAAAATCTGTCCTATCTAAACGATCTCCAGTCACTGTCTAGTCGAAAGTGAATGCTTCCACCGATCACGAATTCTGAACCAGTCTTTCTGAAACATGTACGCCGTTCAAGCTGGCCTCCTTCAACGTTCGCACACTAATGTACATCGGACAACAGATAGGGCTGGCTATGTCTTTGGAAGGTCTTAATTTTGACGTTTGTTGTCTATCCGAGACCCGCATTCAAGACTCTAGTGAGGTACTACAAATCCGCTCTCCATCTGTCGCCTCGAAAAGCTTGTTTCACGTGCGCTTATCCAGGGACCCTGTGTAATCCTCGTCTGGTCATGCTGGCGTTGGTGTTGCACTGAGCGCTAGAGCTGAGGCAGCACAAATCGACTGGATCCCCATTAACAGTCGGTCATGTGCTGTTAGATTAGAAAGTTCCATCAAAGTGAGAAGAAATCGGCGTGAGAAACGGTGTCTTTTCGTCATTTCCGCCTATGCTCCGACAGATTGCAGCTCGGATGCAATGAAGGATGAGTTTTACCATCAGTTAACAGTTCTTCTCCAGAAAGCGCGTTCGACACATATTGTAGTATTAAACGGAGACTCGAATGCACAGGTCGGGCGTCTAGGCACAGAAGAGAGTCGTCTAGGTGGCCGATGGGGACTTGTTGGTCGCCGGACAGATAACGGGGACCGTTTGCTGCAACTGTGCAAAGACCACAACCTGTTTC